CCTCCAACTGGACAATCAAACCTCTGACAAGACGTGTCGAATATTGCTGCAAAGGCGAGACTCCAGCAACTGTTTGACACGATTGATCTTGAAGACATAAGCTTTGTTGTGCAGGTCCATATCTAAACAGGTCTCCCAAAAACGAATATGCTCGTGAACGTGTCGTGGGTAACGCGCAAGGTTAGAATAACAATTCAAAATCTCGACGTCTGCAACTGCGATCAGTCTGCCATCAGCGTTCCAGCGCATCTCTCTCGGCGATACCCTGCACACACTCCGTAACATAGACCGGCGCAGCCTCATCCTTGACGTTCAGGCGTCGCCCCTCATGCCGGAGCGTGTCCAGCGACGCAATCCAGATCACCCCCTGCATCGGCTCTCCCGTGGAGGCCGCGGGCGCATCGCCTGGGCATGCGGCATGCAGTGATGCATTGAGCCGTGGATGCCGCGACGCAGCGCAATCTGAGACTGCCAGCATTCTATATCTGTCCCTCCTTTTCTTATGTTTTCTCTCTTGGGTGCCCAAACTCCTTTGAAACTCAGTCCCTGGGCCCTGGACCCCTCACGGGGTCCACGATTGGACCCCCCACGGAGCCCACCTCGGGTGCTCTTTTTTTCTGCTGCCCCCCTCTCTCTATCACGACCGTACCCTGTGTGAACCACCTGACTCGCATTAAAAAGAAGACAAGAGGGACATAGACAAAGGTGGGTTAGGGGCGGAAAGAGACAGAGCGGAGGCAGACGAAACAATGGTTGGCCAGAGGCGGAAGGAAAGCAACAGCGAGAGGTGGAGGGAGAGGAGAGGGACCGACGTTGTGCAAGAGAGTAATAGAAGGATGTGGGGGAAGCAGCCTTGTGAACCCCAGAATGGCTCTACACGCCAAGCCAGATGCTTCGCCCACGACCACTCGACGGCGATGCGGCGGTGGCGATGGCCGCGGTCGCGGGTGGCGGCGGCGGCGGCGACTGCGGCGCTTCTCTTCCGTCACTTCCCCAGGGCCCCCTTATTCCGTGAGTCCTTCAGGCCCTTGTCCCCTCTTCTCTCCTCGTTTGCTCTCCCCCCTCACCCTGTTTCCCCTCGCCATTCCCCCTTTCTCCCCCGGCAGCCCGAACTCTGGCCGAACGGAACGTTTGCCGGCTCTGTGTGGTATACGCTGGAGCCCCTGTGGTTGCCCCTGTTCCTCGTCCTCTTCCTCCTCCTCCTCTCGACGCATCCCATTGTTTTTGTTCGTGCGGGTCGTGGGGAATGCGTGGCGGCGTAGGCATTACAGAAAAAATGTTCGGCGTGGGTGCAGAACGACGGGTTTCAATAATTGTGGGCCGTGGGGCTGCATTCGATTGGCGTTTGCGAACGATCCAATGATGGAGCGACCTCGAGCTAAGGGTTCGGGACTGGTCAGAGATGTTGTCGCTCAGAACTGAGCGCCCAAGGGCGCTCGGTTCCCCAAGGTAAGCATATACCTTATCACACTCCGACCCAATCGCAAACGCAGGAGAAACACCTAGGTTGGTGTTTTCCCAGAGACACCATGTATCGAGAGTCTTTCGTGCAACTCAGCACGCCGCCGCGGGCAGAGGCTGCCTGCCCCTCAGACGCCGCACCGGCCCTGGGGGCGGAGGCGCAGCCGCGGCAGAGGCCACCGCGGCGAGCTCGGCGGCACTGCCGCCGTCGCCGCCTGTGACCGCCAGCAGCTCCGCGAGGCAGGTGGAAATTTCACGATCAGCGACCGCTCGTATGACAATGGGATGTCGCCGGTGAGGGTGCGCCCGTCAAAAAAAAGGTAGGCCACCTCCTCCGACACCCCGGCAGGTAGCTCGCGCCTAGGCGAGAGAGGACGACCCGCTCGAAGACCTCCGCGTCCTGAGTAGATCTCGTCGTACACGTCGGCGTCTGTTGTGGCGATCACCCAGTGACCTGCGCCTCGCCCGACTGGGCAGTAGAGGAGCCCCTCGTGGAAGCACCGGTCGCCGTGGCACTTGACGAGAAGCCGGTCGCCCGCGGCCAGCTCCTTGAGGGCCGAGCGTGCGAGCGCCATGCGCCCTCGGCCTCTCCTGCGCTGCCCGGCGCGCCGCCAGCGCCCGCGCGACCCACCCGCGAGCCCCGGCGTGGAGGTGTCCGGCTCCGCCTGCGCGGCCGTCTGCCGGCGCGCCCCATAGCTCGATAGCGAAATCGATCATGTAATCGATAGTGAGATGAATAGTGAGATCGAAAGCGAGATCGATAGTGAGCTCGATAGCGAGATCGATAGTGGGATGGATAGTGAGATCGACAGTGAGATCGATTGTGAGATCGACAGTGAGATCGATAGTGAGACCGATAGTGAGATCGATCGTGACATCGATAGTGAGATCGAGAGTGAATTCGATAGTGACATCGATAGTGACATTGATAGTGAGATCGATTGTAAAATCAATAGTGAGATCGATAGTAAGATCTATCGATAGTGGGATCGATATTGAGATCGATTGTAGGATCCATAGTGAGAGCGATAGTTGGATCGATAGTGAGATTGACCATGAGATAAAAAGCGAGATCAATAGTGAGATCGATAGTGGTGTCGATAGTGAGAGCGATCGATAATGGGATCGATAATAAAATCGAGAGTGAGATCGACAGTGAAATCGATCGAGTGAGATCGGTAGTAAGATCGAACGAGTGAGTTCGAATGAACGGTCGATAGCGAGATCGATCGTGGAATCGATAGTGAGATCGATAGTGAGATGGACCATGAGATCGATAGTGAGACCGATAGTAAGACCGATAGCGGTATCGATAGTGAGATCGATCGATAGTGGGATCGATCTTGAGATCGATAGTGAGATCGATCGTGAGACCGGTAACGAAATCGATTGTGAGATCGATAGTGAGATCGATCAAGTGAGATCGGTAGCGAGATCGGTAGCGGGATTGATAGTGGGATCGATAGTGGGATCGATCGAGTGAGATCGATAGTGAGATCGATCGAGTGAGATCGATTGTGATATCGATTGTGGGATCCATAGTGAGATCGACTGAGTGAGACGTTGGTTTCTCCTCCCCCCACCTCACCTCCGTATCACCCGAAGGGTGGTCGTATAGGAGTACGTGTATGTGTATATATATATATATATATATGCACATCGCATGTCACATCCACTGTACAGCAATATACTGCTTGGGGTCTACGATGGCCGCTCTTACCTAAGGAAAGCATGTGGACTCCATCTCCGAGCGCCCGGTCGTTGACACGCCGGCCACGACGACGTGTGCACGGCGGCCGCGCGGGGCCGCACCTCCTCCGCCCCAGCAGTGCGAGGACCGCCACTCGGCCGCACGCCTCTGCCGCCCACCTCCGCCTGCCACGCTGGGCGCGGGCGTGTGGCAGCGCCCGACCCCCGCCCATGGCCCACACCGCCATTGGACGCCCGAGTTATCCGGGGCAACTCGGGCCCGGGGTAGCTCGGGTCTGGATCCCCGCAAAAACGAACCCGAGTTGGTCCTGACCTGAGTACCCCTGATGATTCGGGGCTCTGGACGCCCGAATCATCCGGGGTAACTCGGGCCTGGGGCAACTCGGGTTCGGATTCCCGAAAAAACGAACCCGAGTTAGCCCTGACCCGAGTTACCCCTGATGATTCGGGGCTCTGACGCCAAGGGTTCGGACAAGCTCCGCGGCGACCACTCCGTGGTCACCCCATCCGTGCCTGTGCCGCGGAGTCCCGACGCAGTCCAGTGTCGCACACGCGCCGGCGAGGCCCCCCGCTCGTTCTTACACCAGTGCCGCTGAGGCACCGGAGGGGTCCGAGGGCCGAGGACTCCTGACGACCTGCCGGTGCCACCCCAACCCAAAACCCGAATATCGGGATGGGGGGGATATACGGGTTCCACATGTCTTCGTCGATGCTCCCCGACGGCCCCCCCCACACTGGGTATGGCGGGCAAATGGGGGCCTTCTGGTTGGGTTGAGGCGGTCTGGTGGGTGGTGATATATAGCCCCTCGGTCGACGAAGTCGGCCGCAAGGAAGGCTCAGACGAAACCCCACCTGTCCAAACAATCTGCTCGCCAGGGCACTAACGAACGGGGGCCGGGAGCCGGACGCCGCGGGGCAGGCGGACGTCGACCGTGCTGCGGCCAGTGCCGGCACTGACGAGCCTGTTTTCCACCATCACCACCAGAAGTTGGGGGGGAAGGAGGAGGAGGAGGAGGAGGGCGAGGAGGAGGACGAAGAGGAGGAGGAGAAGGAGGAGGAGGAGGAGGAGGGGGAGGAGGAGGAGGAAGAGGAGGAGGAGGAGGGTGGAGGAGGAGGAGGAGGTGGTGGAAAACAGGCCCGTCCGGCAGCGCGGGCGGGGCGGGGCGCGCGCGCGCCTGCGAGCAGGAGCTGGCGGCGAATGGCGGCGGCGGCGGCGCGGAGCTCGAGCTGCTGGAGGCCTGTGCGTCTCGCGGGCAACGCGCGGGCGACGACGACGGCGGAGACGACGACGACGACGACCACGGCGACGACGACCACGACGACGACCACGACGACGACGACGACGACGTCGACGACGACGACGACGACGACGACGACGACGACGACGGCGGCGGCGGCGGCGACGGCGGCGGCGGCGGCGGCGGCGGCGCGAAGCCGACGGCGCCGACGAGCCTCCCACGGCGCCAGACGGGGCGCGGCGGGCCGTGCCGTGCGGGGCACGGCGGGCGCGGAGTTCGCGCGAGGAGGCGGCGGCGGCGGCGACGCCTCGGGGGCGGGGACGCCTCGGGGGCGGGGATCGCTCCGAACAGTGTCTGTCGTTCTCGTGTTCGTTGTCCCTCGTTTTTCGTTCAGTCTGTCGTTCTGTCGTTTTCGTTCAGTCTCGTTTTGCTTTCGTGTTCGTTTGCGATCTCGTTGCTTTTCGTTGTGTTGTCGTTTTTCCCTCGTGCTGTCCAAACCGTGTTTTCGCTGTCCCTCGTTTTCGTGACGCTGAGCCCAAAACCATGATTTTCGTATTTTCGTCTTGCTTGCGTTTTCCCTCGCTCTGTCTT